ACAAAGTAAAGAACAACAAAAAATAAATAAAAAGAAAACGATTAATCGATTATTAAATTAGTCATCGATTATTTTAATAATCGATTAGTCATCGATTAATCGATTAATCGTGGCAGCCCTAAATGATATACAAATCTCATAAACTCATGTTTGGTTCACAATAGCACACATGTTAAAAATCAAATATTTCAACTAAGAAGTTTCACATCTTTTAGGGGTAAAATATGCTCCTATCCAGACATGAACATTTTCAGGGAAGGCTTTGCATGTTTCAGCAAGACAATGTTAACCCACATACTGCAGCCACATGGTTTTACAGTAGAACAGCGGGTTCTGAACTGATCCGACTGTTGAACAGCAGATAAGAATGGGACAACATCCCCTTCAAAACCTCCAGCAGCTGCTCCCCTTTCTTCCTGGACATTTGCAGACTGATGTGAAATGAGGAATTAAACATGGTGACTTTTCTGATGTGTTGTTGGTAAAACGTCTAAAACCAAAACGATTTCTTAATCATTTGGTTCTTTACATCAAGAGAATAAAAACAATAAAAAAAGATTATTCCTTAAGATCCAGACATGAATATTGTCTGACTTCACAAACTCTGATTCAGTAACAGTATTTTATTCAGGTTGTTCACTAGGGTTGGGCAAAATCGTATTGTGTGCAATTAATCGTCGGAAAAACTTTAATCGATTTATTTTTTGGCACTCTACGATTAATACGATTAATGCCAACAGATTGACGGGGGATTTCCTTGGTCAGCCCGCTTGGTGCTCCTCTCCACTTCAAATATGCTGAACATTTTTTAAAAAGTTTGTAATTTATTTATCATAACTCTGGTTTTACTTGGTCTATTAACACAATTTAAGAACATATGTACAGCCTGAAGTCTGCACTTTTCATACAGTTGGAACAGATTTTTATGGAGAGCAAATCTTTCCCACTAGAGTGATTTAAATTGGTCATATGAGTAAGGTATGAGGGCGTCCAGGGACTCCAGGTGATTAGTCATCATATTAATCGTTATCAGCTAAATACCACAAATAATTGTGACTAATTTTTTTGCCAATATTGCCCAACCCTATTGTTGACATAAAAGCTGGCATTCAGTGGGCACAGATCTAATAATACGCTAATTGCAGAACTAGCCTCTCATGTAGCAGATTAGCTTTTTGGCTAACTTTGGAAACATTATTGAACCCATTAAGTTATGCTCTGCTAATTTAAGTCCACTAAATAATTTGCAAGGGTTAAATCTCTGTTTTTATGCTGTTTATCCCCAATAAAATCTTACTAGCAGTGCTGAAAGTGTCGGGTCTCGTTGCATGCAGCATCTTTAGCAGCTTAATGTCAAACTAAGAGCATCTAAAAGAGATGAAATAACATTGAAATGTTGAAATTTCATCGAAAACATTGAATTAACAATGAAATACCATATGTTGTGCACACTGCCTGCACTGTTCTGTTATTTCTGTTACCCAAATTTTGTTGTTGTTTTCTTTGCTATTTAGTTATTATTTGCTGTTCGACATTTTGTCTTTACACTGTATACATTACCCTACATTTTTGTTTATTTACTCTTTGTGCATTTACTGCAAACTGAATTTTATATTCTGTATTGTCTTTATTTTTATTTTTTATAGCGAGTCGAAGGATTTCTTCTCATCCTAAGAATTTCATTGCATTGTTGACTCTTGTTAACCTGCATATGACAATAAATGAATCCTGAAAACATTTAACAATATTTAAATACCAAATACAAAAACTGACTTTGCATAAAATATGGTAGAGAAAGTATTTACCATTTGTTGTTTGACTAACTTCGAACGTTATTAATAAAAATACAAACTTGTTTCAAAGAAACACTTTTATTTTAAAGGAGGTAAACTGGAAGTAGCACTAGTTAGACGGAGCTATAACTCTGGTTGAAGGACGTAAAGATGTGACAGACTGACAGCCATGTTAGCGGTTAGCGTTAGCTTCCACTAAATTTGTATCCGTTTAGCAGGTTCTGCATTCTTGTTTAGCAGATTAGTGGTTATTTCTGTAGTCTTTGTTCAAACAGAAGCTCATTTTGAAGTCGGGTCACAGAGGCAGCAGCTTCAGGAGGGAGAACTGGACATCGCTCTCCTCCTCTTCCTCAGGGGGTTCAATGTGTCCCTGGGCCATCCTCCTGGATGGTTGGAGTTTTTTGGCCAGCTTATGCATGCCATATTTCTAAGCTCAACGCCCCACTAGCTTAAAGTGTAAAAGTCTGAATAATTTATTGCATTTCTCAGGATGTGTTTAAAAACTGCTTTCAGTCGCTGAGCTATTCATCACATTTGATTTGAGGATAAAAGGTGTCAGAAACCACTGGATACAAACCCTGTAATGTTTTATGGCTTTAATAGTTTAATATCATCAGTTCCATCAAGTCTAATTTAGTTCTTCAAGATGTTAAAAAAATCTGACACACATAATGAGAGCAGTGCTCTTTAATTAGCAGTCGCCCTGGTTAATAAATGTCTGTCGTCTTTCAACAGCAACGGGGTAAACGTGGAGGGAGCCACGCACAAGCAGGTGGTGGATCTGATCCGGGCCGGCGAGAAAGAGCTGGTGCTGGCCGTGCTGTCCGTCCCACCACAGGAGGCCGACTGCCTGGACCCCGGAGACGACGGGTCGGCCCTCTCCTGCTACGACTACTCTGACAAGCAGGCCGTCCCCATCTCCATCCCCAGCTACAAACACACCGAGCTCAACAACGAGAAGTTCGTGGTGCGTGACACGCCACACACGCCACACATGTCACACATGGTACACACGTCACACATGGTACACACGTCACATATGTCACACACGTCACACATGATACACATGGTACACACGTGACATATGGTACACACGTCACATATGGTACACACATCACACATGGTACACATGATACACATGGTACACACGTCACACATGGTACACACGTCACACATGGTACACACGTCACACATGGCACACATGGTACACACGTCACACATGGTACACACGTCACACATGTCACACATGGTACACACGTCACATGTGGTACACACGTCACACATGGTACACATGATACACATGGTACACATGTCACACATGGTACACACGTCACACATGGTACACACGTCACACATGGTACACACGTCACACATGTCACACATGGTACACACGTCACATATGTCACACATGGTACACACGTCACACATGTCACACATGGTACATATGCCACACACGTCACACATGTCACACATGGTACACACGTCACACATGTCACACATGGTACACACGTCACACATGTCACACATGGTACACACGTCACACATGTCACACATGGTACATATG